CTATACGAACAATGCCGGTTGCCATTACCTGACTTTTACACTAGCTTGTTTGTTAAATTCATTGTGCAACATTTTGAGATGGCTGAAACAAAATGGCAGCAACATGTCCTTCCTCTGTACGTTTTACCTCTAAACAAAAGAGGATGAAACTGAAATAATGTTCACTCTGCCAACAGTCTCACAATCTGTCAAAATTAACTATATTGTACACAATGTACTGATGAAGGAGGAAATTGTACTTTTCTGGGGAGAACACTTGTATGCGTCGCAACGTGCACGCTTGTATGTCAGTTATGTGCATAACACTCACAAGCAAATTACATGCAAAAACACATAAATAATATTCCAGATAAAAGTGACAAAGATTCCTATTGGGTTTATCGGTACAGATATGGGAAAACATTGGATATTGTTGATTCACAGAAAACGTGTGGTTCGTATGTTTATGCATTGCCCAGTGATTGTCTGTTTCACATGGCATCGATGTACTATTATAGCAAAATAGAAATTGGAAATCGGTTAGATTTACAGTATTAGAGACTAGTTACTTTAATAACGCCAGCAAACTCAAAACTTGGTCTGACTGTGCTACTTATTTGCAGTATCTTTCCATTGGATTATTGGCCGACTTGACAGCACAAGAGACACAATTGACGCAAGTACTGGTAGGGGAAAAATTAGCGGATTCAGAGACTATAAATTGACATTTGATTTATAATCTAAACACCGATTAAGACAATCATGAATTACTTTTAGAGTGACTATTTTGCACTTGACTGAGGAGTACTTGTATACGTACCATTTCCAGTGAGTGTACCAACTGGCAGTATTCAACCGACTAAGCATGTAACAACCCTGAACTTATTTGTTTAGTTGTTGGTTGTCACGTGATTAAACACAAGATTGGTATAAATTGGTGTCTCTGATAAAGGTATACTGTGTAATATTGTGTGACCGTTGACGGAATCAAGATTATTTAGTTAACATGGAGAAGCAAAGAGGTGTTTGGAGTATTATCTAAGCGAGAGTTTGATTGGATTAGCTTGGTGTGTTAATTCAAAGTTTATTCAATTCTAGTATTGACGCATTATGGAAGATACTACAATAACATTCAATCATACAGATATCAAACTGCTACACTATCTTACCTTTACTGGAGGAATGAAAGAGTTGAGACTTTTATTGCTCTCCAACATGTGAAAGATAGTGAACTGAGATTTGATACTACAGCATGGTTAGAAATCAACAACCGTGCGTGTTGTACAGAACATGTAATTATAGCGAGGAGATAGATCACTTTAAATTGTGTTAAATCTTGTATTTGTATCAGCTTATGCCTGAATCAGCTTATGCCTGAATCAGCTTAGAATTCCACTCATTGCGGTGTTTAGTAATTCCTTTGTGGAAATTGATTTAGCATTATTTTCATACCCGTTAACTTTGCCGTAAATCGTTACTAATCATTGAAACAATAGTCAATTTCTTTCCGAAAGAACCTTCAGCTTAATTACCGGTA